ATTTTAATGCCCCACAATTCAACTGTGCTGGCAACCCAATTGCTTACTTGTTGTTTTTGCTATTTCTATCTCAAAGTCCTTTGCTTAACTCATTTCTCTATAGTCATTTCCGTTATCGAGAGACAAACTATTTTGTCATTTGCCGGATTTGTTTGTCGCTCTGCAATCAAAGATGATGGCCGACTAAAGTTCAGCACTTATTACGATTTATGCTATATGTTAAATATTTTTTTCTTTCTTATTTCTTATTACTATTTACACTATATGTTAAATATTTTTTTCTTTTCGTTGTTATTTAAATGCGACATATGCAAAAGATAAATGCAAATATGGATCTTACACTTCAAAATATCAATGGCAACGGCTGTAATTACAGTTTGTCAATTGCAATTCAAATCCATCAAGTGAAAGACGTATTCGATGAAAGAAAATGTAATTCAATGGATTTGTGGCTTTCACTTTTCAATTAAAAAATAAAGAAAAAAACGAGAGAAGGGAAATCAAAAGAAAAACCAAGCACACGCTGCTACTTGATATATATATATATATAAGTCAAGGTTTTGCTTTTCAATTTCCATAATTTCAGAGTCGGAGCAACTGTCAGTCATTTGTCGTGGACATATGATATATATATATATAAAAGATGAAATCATATGAATTGGAATTTAATGATATTATTTCAATATTTGCGCATTATATTTTGCCTTTAACCTTTAACATTATTCCTTTTTTATCATCGTGTGCGTAATGACATGCAATTATTTTCAGATCAAACCCCATTTGCCGTTATTGTAACTGAAGCGAGACATTAACGCCCAGCTACATCCGGGAAAACATCTATGAGGGCTGTCAGTTAATGGCCAGCAAACAATATTGACGTCTCGTTGATTAAACAATCAATACTTCAATCGCATGCTCAATACTTATCTTTTGTCTCTCGCGCTGCTGCTGACGGTTTTTTTTCGCAAATACAATTTTCAGCTTTTTTGGTTTTCCTGTACCCTGTTCCCAAAAATGTTGTGTGATGTGTGGGTATCTTGAAGTTACGCAAACAACAGTCTTTAAAAAGTGTAAATTTAAGAGACAAGACATAATTGTTAATACAAACTGTTATTATTAATCTTAAATTGTTTACTATTATGATTTAAATCTTGCGTTTTAAGGATATCTCATAGTCGAATGATCATTTCTGCAGAGCTCTTGGTTATACCGTCTCTATAATTAAAGTGATATGTGGGTGGCCATACAGTAGCAGTTCTGTTGCTCATCAACGTTATCATGAGCATAACTATTTTCATTATCATCATCAACGCCAGCATGAGTATGAGCAGCAGGAGTTGTTGCTGCTGCGTCCTTGCTTGCATCCAACATGCGCATATTAAAAATTATTTTTGCATACGCCCGCAAAATGAAAATGGGTGTGGTAGCAAAAAAGCAAAAATTCATTTTTCCAAATGAAAAAAAGTTCCTGAAAATTGGATTTTAAAGCGCTGAAAATCCAGCTAAACGGCTTGAGAATGCGTCTCTTAAAAATATACACTGTCACATATCGATGGAATATTCAATGGCTCATTCATTCAGGAAGGATTGCAAAGAATGCAGTGAAAATCGTCTTCGACGGCCAAGCAAATTAACATAACAGCTGTCAGGGATATTTTCATTTAATTGCCCCCTTAAATGGTTATTGAAAAAACTGCTACTTGAGGAGTTATTCACGGAAATGGGAAAAAAGCGTGATTAAGTTTTTCTCATTTCCAATTCATATAATGTGAAATTTATCAAGTAGGTAAGAATGTTGTATAAGAGTTCAGTCTTCATTAAAATTGAAATGGTTATTTAAAAAATCCATTTATTTAACAAGCTAACATAAAAAGTGAAGTTACCGTATTTCTCTTTATTCGTAATTCACTTAGTTTTTTTCTACGCATTACTTTTTGTAAGTTCTGGTCGTCCTTTGGTTGTTTTTCATGTAATTTAGAATGCTTGAGTTGCTCTGCTATATTATGGCCACGTCTAGACACTTTTAATATATACTTATAAATACTTTGGCCTTGGGCACATGTGTGTTTCTGCTTTTGCCCACTACAGCCTGTGTGTTAAAGTTTGAAACACTCATACGCCGCATTGCCAACATTAATCTTGCTTACCCATACGCACACAAGCATTTTGGAAACTATGTGAATGTGTGAATGTGTGTGCGTGTATCTGTGTATGCACATTAAAAGTTTCCCTAAGAGCTTATGCCACCATTTGTTAAAAGCGATTTTTAATGCAGCTTTAAAAACTTCGCTAAACACACATGCACACACAAGCCCACACATCCTATAAAGATACGGAGGCAAATTGGCACCCCCAATGCCATCGCTGACTCATCTAATGGCTTTGCATGCATTAGAAGTAAAAGTTTTTTTTTATAATGAGCTCACATTATTTTGATACTCTTATGCTTGGTTGGGTAATAGCAAAGAGACAATGCATAAGTAACTTACCTGGTATTGCATTAAAATGTTTTTAAATGCTATTGGACACATCAGATCTTAAATTATAAAAAATTAATATCGAAAAAATTATAATTTGTAGTTCACTCACAATTAATCAAACTTTGTATGTATATTAATTTTCGGAACAGGTAATTTATAATCAAAATCATATTGGATAATCTATGCATTTTTTTAATAACTAGTTTCCTGTCAAGTGATTAACATTTTTATTCTGATTCAGCTCTAACTGTTTGTATTTAAAATATGTTATTTTTATAAGATACCAATTTCTGCATTTTGACGGTATTAAGCGAATTAAAGCTGACATCCAGTTTGGTGGTCATGGGTGTGATCAGGGAGGGGTTCGGTGGAAGGAAATGGAGGTACCGACATTGGCTGCTTCATAATAGCCGGAGGCGCATTAGAACGTAATTAAATGATGTTTGTCACAGCTCGACATTGGCGGGATCAAGTTGAAATGGAGAGCGGATTAAAGAGATTAATTTTCAATTGCAGTCACTAATCAATTCAACTGTTTGAAATGCTCACACGGCAGCATTTCTCGCACAACTTACAGCTTAGACATTTTAATTAAAAAACTAAATAGTATGAAATGCCTTTGCATATCTGAAATTAAATCAAAAGCTGCCTCAGGATGCGCTGATGTTTGTGAAAATTATTACTTTGTGTTGGCATATTTATTAATATTTCAATTTTAAGCTTAGTTTGTTTTTCACAAAACAAAAATCATCATTGATAAATTGCACTATCAAAATCATGCAAAAATGTATCGAGATTTGATTTCTGTTTGGTGCAAAATTTTACCATGAATAAATTAAATATAAACCTCAGGAAGTGGATGACAAAATTCAATGCGTGGAGTTTTGTAAATTTCAAATAAAATGAATGAACAGAATAGTATTGGTAGATATGAAATTCAGTTAGATGGATAACTGTATATGTATTACATATTAATTGGTAGAACTTTTATTTAATCAAAATTGTTTGATTTGCATACTAAATATATTACAACTATAAAAGTTGATTTTCTCTCTTTTCATATATGTATCATTTAAAATCCAGCTCATTGATTATCTCATTTAAATCCAAAAAATTATAGTATTGCAATTACTTAACATTTGATATGTATTTTCAATCCTGCTTTAAATACAAAAATTTGAATCGAAATTATTCCAAATATTTGAAAAATGTATTATTGGTGCCCGTCACATATGTAATTGCAATGCCTCAAAAAAGTGTACACATTTTCAATTTAATACTTATTATGTCAGATTAAATTTATGTTAATGTCATTAATCAACGAAAAACTATTTGCTACCAATATGAAAGCAATGATAAATATGTTTGCCAGAGGTCAGAAAGTCATGATTTAAAAACAGCTTTTGCAATGACTGCAGCAGCGAATTAATGTCAATCAGCCATGTAATTAACGCGGTTAACTGAACAGCAGCAGCAATCACAATGATTCAACGTGACAAACGTTGGCCATAAATATGGCTAATCTGTTTGGCAATGATTTGATTAGAGCAGAATCATTTGCCATTCGGATTTGGACCATGCATAGGCAATGCAAATGCGACATATTTGAGGCAGCTCGAATGTCAGCAACATCATCAATAACAGCAACAACAATAACAACAATAGCAACATTGCTGTAAAATACGCCATGGCGGGGCCAATAATTAGCACTTTATAGCTGAGTGCGCGGTGTGCAGGTACAAGAATTTTGTATATGTATCTGTGACTGTGACTGTGTCTGTTTGAGCCAGTAGCCAAAGAGATTTTCAGTGTCGACCAGCGGCGCCAAAATATTTGCCTCTGGCAATTAATTAAACGCCGTGCTGGGACAAATTCCTCTGACGCAAATGCCCTGTCCACAATATAGGTTAGTGCAGCTAAATACAGAATTTTGATGTGGCTTGTCTTACTAATGAATGCCTAGGTATATTCGCTCCATATATTAGTATATGCAGTTGTTAATCTTGCTTGTGTCTCAATTAATCAAAATAAAACAATTTTTAAATCTTGCAAACAAAATTGTTTTTAGTTAGTTCTCTTGTTTGTTTATTTTCAATGATTGCGGTTCAATCTCGGTATTTGTATAAATGAATAATTTTGGAAGGAAGGGGAACTAAAATGACTACCCAAAGAATATGTGAGAAAAATAATAGCAGTTGTGCTGCAAATCATGATAATTACGCAAATGTCTCATCAGCCTTCGATGGATGTTGATTATATGGACTAAAATGCCCTGATATGAAATCTGTTTGTTAAAATTAAATTTGATAAACAGCATTTTAAAATAAGCAATGCAGTAACTAATTTTTTGTTTGGTGCAGATTTCCCTTTGCATAAATTCCTTTTATACTAATGAATTAAATTACATGTAAATGAAAAATAAACTCAGAAAATGTTTAACTCATTTTGGTTGGAATTCTTTGTGATGATTTAATTTAAATTTATTGTTGCTGTCTGGCCTTATCTAATTTAATTAATTTTCTACTTTTTAATATAACGTGGAAAGGGAGTCAGCGTTGGTAGAGGACCGCGTGGCGGATGCGGTGTCGTCGACTGAAAATATGTTGCATATTGACGAATGAGCTCGGCGGAGAAGCGCGATGAGGCGGATGCTTTACTAACGACGTTGTTGGGTCGTGCGTGCAACTGCTGCGACTGTGCAACACGTGAAACGCTGCGGGCTGTCGTTGCGACTGGGGTGTAGCGAACAAGTGGCCGTTTCGTAGTGGTAGTGGTAGTGGTAGTGCTGTAGATGATGGGGGTGGCGGTGGTGGTGCCTATGCTTGTATCTGCCACATCATTGCTCACTGGCTCAGCGAATGGTGGCAGCAAATCCAAAGCTAGTTCCGGCTTAGAGCCAGGCTTTTTAGCGAGGATGTCCGTTTTCTTGGCCGTGGCCTGCGGCTGCTGCAAGTTGGACTTTATTGTGGGCTTTGTCGCTGACGTTGGTGCCTCGGTTGTGGAGCTGAGCTCTTCTAACGGTGGCGGTAATAAATCATTGAATGGCACCAATACGTCCTTAGGCGCCGCATGATTTATGTGTGCTACATCGGCGGCGCAGAGGCAAATCATTGCGGATGCTCCGATTAATAACTGTAAAATAGTTAGGAAATGATCTTTAGTCTGTTCGCATACGAGAAATGAATGATGACTTTTGAAGTGTCGGTTTTGTTTTGTTTTGTTTTGGTCCATTTTTGCTTTGGTTTACATAATATAATTAACTATGATTTAATCACAAATTATGCAGTCGCGTCTGCTTTTGGCCTGATTTTTATGGCAGCTCATTTGGTTATAGTCTAGATTTGAGTTTACGCTAGTGGGCAGTGAACATATCGTGCTGGCCTCCAAAGCAAAATACCGTGAAAGGGAAAAACTATAACCTTGCGTTGTATGATAATTTTTTACCCAACAGTTCATTAGCAACATTCCTCACTAAGAACATAAACACTTCACATTTTTTGGCTGATATCTAAAGGTCAGGCCACATTCTCATTGCCTTTTACAGTATGTTGAATGTAAGATATAAGCTTTAAGAAATTATGCATTAAATTTAGTTTCAAACAAAATGTTTTTTTTTTTTCTTTGTTGAATTAATAAGTACTTGTTTTGAGTATAATATTGAAATGAAGATTTTTATCCTGTTTTTAATTTTATTCTTTAGCCAACGAGTTTTTGATTATTATTATCATATTATTGCATTTTTTATAAATAGACGTCATATTTCATTTTAATCGCAACCCTAAGCGAACTATGCATTCGCTTTGGGAGTGGAAAAAAAAACATAAACCAGAAAGTTGAATGCCCCGTTTTTGGTTTCCTGCACGCTCTGCATATGTCTATAATAATTTATGATTTGTATAATTTTTAGATAAATACTTTTTTTTTCAATAAATGCTTTTCACGTTATGCAAATGATGAACTATAGAATATTAATATCATCGAGAAAACTTGTTATACTTAATGGGTGCAAGTCAAGCGCTTGAAGTGGGGGATTTATTGAAATCTTTATATAACGAACTGAAATATATATCAGCAACCCAGAAGAGTGCTCCATTATGCTTATTGCCATACAAAGTTTTGTAGATCAGATGCACTTTTCTAACGCAGTAATCGGAACTGGACAGACTAGAACAGTTTAATCATCACTACTTCGAACTGTAACTGTAACAAATTATAATTTTTATTTTTTTTTATTTTATGCTTTCTTCGACACCAAATATATATTTTAATATGTATATATATATTCTTTCCTCAACACTGTCACCAAAGTTTGCATTTCATAACACTAATTCCACTTTGTTGCTCCTCTGAAATGCTATTAAAGCGTTCAATGATGCATTTCATTCCAAAATCACTTACAATACGAAGCGTCATTATTTTAAAATTAATTTTCGAGTTGTCGCGCTGAACATATAAAGTCGACTAAAAGATGCGCTGCGCTTGCGTGACGTTTTTATACGGGTTCGCCGCCTAAAAACTAAAAGCAAAAACTAAATAAATGTGAAGCAAATTTTAAAAGCGAGAATTTACGCACATGGGAGGCAGACGAATGTAAGATTTTATAACCGGATTAGGCCACGTATAGTAACGGGTTTCTCTGTTGTTGTATGAAGCATGCGCATCATGTGCTGATGGAACTGCTCACCAATTAGGGACAGAAGCAACTTTTGTTTTGTTTTTTTTTTTTTTAAGTTTGATGGATTTGAACTCGTGCGGTTCACGGTCGTATCTGATAGTTGTGTCTGCATCTACAGCTGGCTACCATTACTGATAAGTTAAATGAGGGACTTTTAGTTGCCATTGTTGTTGCTGTTCCGGATGTAATTTAATAAATAGAACTGTCGCAGACTCTAGCTGGTTTTAAATTAGCTAATTGCTTCCTACATGCTACCTGTTTTAGTGGATACAAATTTGAAGCTGGAGTTAATTGGCACACTAATTGATTTTCGCTCAATCGAACATGTTTTCTGCTTCAGCACTCATTCTACCTGGAGTATATAAATTTCATCTTGACAGAGTGAATGCCCTCATTTGCATATAAATTGAGTGGCCAACTAAATAGATATCACTTAAATTCTCTTTGTCCGGTAAGAGCCTATCGCTCTATATTCTATATATTCTTCCAGTCTCTGTATTTTATCTTCGGCTATTATTAAAGAACAATTCGAACTGATACATCTGCAAATTATGCAAATTATTTAGCACCGACTCTTGACGGCGCAGCTGTGTGTGAAGGAACATAAATTAAATAAACATATAAATTTGCAGTGTTATTTGCTAATGTTAAACCGGATTTTATTCAATTTGACTCCTAAGATTAATTGCTCGACAGCACATTGTTAACTTGAGTCTAATGGCATTTGTGATAAGATACCATTTACTTGTCTAAGCTTCTTATCAGAAATTAAATCAGTTAGTTAAAATCTTTCTAACTACTCGAAGTATTTTAATTTTCAGGGTAAACTTAAAGCGATAGTTTATAATAGCATACACACATCATAATAAGGGAATAATACTAATGTTTTTAATATTAGGAAATCTTTTATAATTTATAAATAATATTTTTAAATCAGCAATTAACTAAATCTTCATGTATTTTATAAAAGAGAGGTGAGAATATATATAAAAATAAGTTCCCATCATATTCATCATATAAGTCTTCTACTCAAAATTAAGATTGATTAGGGTTATAATTTATTCGTGGTAAGTTATTGAGCCTCTGTCAACAGTGATGAATTAAAAAATAATTGAAAACTAGTTTTTATTTTAAATCCAATAACTTATAATACATTAATAAATTACTGATCGAACTGCATCGTTCCACTGTAATTTATTATCTCATTCAGATTTAACATTGACTTTTTATATATTCATATTTCCGCGATAAAAACCATATCCATTTCTCTCAATTTTATATATTTCATTTAAAGTTCACGTGTTTCAATATTATTTATGATGAGAAGAACGTGATTGCCATTGTTTCAAGTATTTATGTTGTCGTTGCTTTTTTCGCCACTGTTATTGTTTTCGATTGTGCTTTACTTCCATTTCTGTTATTTATTTGTATGCATTTATTTATATTTATGTGGGTATGTATGCAGGTGTGACTGCGGGTGCGAGAGTAACTACGGCTCTCATGTGGGCCAATTTGCGACATGGCAACTGGTTGGGGAATATTGGCCTAGTTCGTTCAGTGGGTCTTACAGACATGGTTCTCATATAAACTGAACGACTGCCTGACTGTCTGTCTGACTTTCTTTAGTTGTCTTTTCACATTCCCAAGCATTGGGCATGATAAATCAATGGAAATGTTATGCAACAGACATACGGAGAAATACATATGTTGGGTTGTTGGATCTTAAATCGTTAGGGCAAGAGCCAGAATATCAAAATATATTTAAGCTCAGTCCTCCTAAATTTAGAGGCGCATATAAATTGAAAAATTGTTTCTGTGACCAAAAATGCGTGTCAACATGTGTCAAAAACAATGCTCAATAGATTTAATTCAAAAAAACCGTGAGCGACTAGTTCACCGGGAAAATTGATGTTTATATTCAATACTGAAAACGTAAGCAAAAGTTAGTTTACTTATAATCTTTAAATATATTTGATCTGGTATTTAAGTCCAGCTCCTTTGACAGCTCAACTAACTATAAGCCTATGACACTATTTACATTTCTCTATAGTTTCTCTCACTTAACTTGCGTATAATTTTAAGAAACTGATTAAGTGCTTGGCACTCCCTTATGCCGGGGTTCAAGGCAACAGCTGGAAGTGCACTGTAAACACGCCTCGGTTCCTGTTGGGGCAACGTCTTGAGCGTTATGTAACGTTTTACTTTGCAACCGGAGTTGCTTGTTGTTTTCGACGGCTATTCGTTGGCAGATAAACAAGTTGAGGCAGCACTTCCTTGTGCAATGTGTTTTTTGACTAGGCGAGGTCGACTCAACGATGGAGCCTCAACGGTTGAAAAGGGGCAACGCAAGTAGGGAGTAATAGGGGAAAGAATGAGAAGCTTCCGAATTCAGTAGTCGGTGCTTTTGTTTTGGCTGAACCGTTTACAACTTCCTGGTCACGCTTTTGGCATTGCTTTGGCTTAGCCTGGCCTTGCTCGCCGTTGACTTTTTGGTTGAGCCGCTTGCTTATAGCCGTTTGCCTGCTTGTTGTTCTCGGCCACAAGTTTGTTTTCGTTTTTGGCTGTTGCCAACTCGAGGACCCCATCCATCAGTTAAGCACAACTCGAACTCCAGCTCCACCTCCAGTTCTTGGCTGCCAGTTTCCTTGTAATTAGCACAAAAAAGCGTAAGCCAAAATGTTGGAAACTTAAAGTTTTCAGTTCTCTGGGGCAAGTCGCGACGGCAACACGCTGGGCAAGTGCGACTGTTACTCAGAATGTTGCATGATTTGCGGACCTAACTCGAGGCGTACTCGAAAGTCATAAAGTGCAAAAATTGTTACACTCAGGCGGAAATGAATTATGAAAGTTGTTTGTAATTTTTGTTGCACTCGCATCTATATTTTTGTACTCAGTTGTAGTTTCAGAATTTTACAAGAGTTACAAGAAACCTGAAACTTATATTTCCACCTTGAGGTGCATATAATTTAATTCAATTTGACTACAAAATATTGCAAACTTAATGAACAAACGTAATAGAGTTTTAAATGCGGCAACTTTGTACAAACATAAATAAAGTTAGTTGAAACTTCATGTTCACTTCACACATTCATCAGAGCAGTATTTTCTTTTTACTCTTATTCCAAAACAAGAAAACTGCATTGAATACAATTTAATCATAACTTTTTTGCAAGAATTCTGCAACTGAGGTTGGAAACATATATTATTTTATTATTCACTTAGCACATTGACTATTATTTTTAATTATTCAAAACAAATCTCTGAAATATATATGTCCTTGTCTGTGTACATTTTCTTACTTAATGCCATGTCCTGAGGCCAGCGACTGGTTCTGCCAAGGACTATGGAGTAAGTAAATGGTTTGCGCTTGTCACCTTGGCAAATTGCAAGCGAGTAAATTGAATTAAGTTTGAGTGAACAAGTAAACATAATTTTTGAAGCAATTGTGGGCGCGATAATAACCTGCAAAAAATTACACAAATGGATACGCTGGAAGGTAGTGGAAAATTAAAATGTCTACCCTTTTTAATTTGCGTTCATTTGTCAGCGATTGATTGGCCTTATGGGCTGACTAATTGGTCTGGGGTTAATTAAAACTCAACTCAAACTCAAATGCAAATTATTTCGAAGCGCACCCAAAACATTACGCACTGCGCCTAAAAGTCGACACCGGAAAACTTTTCCACACACACACACACACACAGTAAAACAAACACACGTGGAAACTTGTGAACTTTTTGGTGCTGTAGCTCGGCATTTAGCGGAGCATTTCACTAGAGGGGCTTGCGTTATTGCCAGCACAAAAACTTTAATTAGAAAGTTTTGTCACATGCTGAGTGCCAATGCCATCATGTTACCAAAATTTAGCTGCTCATATAGCAGATGTGGGGGATGAGATACTCTCGGTAATACTCGGTAAAATGGCTGAAAACATGATAAAATCTGAAATTTTTGGGTAACTCGCACCGGTGCCAAACCACAGAGACAATCTAAACTTTTCGAATCAATTTTAATTACCATAAATATAGCTAAACTTTAGCCCTGCCTCAAACGCTCAGACACGCAGACACTCACTCTGTCACCACACAGCGAAATGGAGGTCGCGTATTCGTCATTTTACTGCCTGCTGCTCGACTCCGCTCTTTGGGGACTAAAGTTGTGTATCTTTCTGTGCACCTCGGCGCAACAACATTCAACTTGCTCGCGTTTATTTTGTTTACTCTGCGTACAACAATTTCGCTTTATGCCACGATATCTAGCTATTTATTTGCACTACTCCATGGCAACAAGCGGGCGATGTTATTGAAAGGTTGCGAGGAAGGGGGAGTTAAAGATGGCTGAAAATTCTAATGCTGGAGGTCTTCTTGATAAATTGGCTAAGTGACAGCCAAATGTGCTGAAAATGCATTTAAACTTTGTTAACGCGTACCAGTTAATTCATTGCAGACCAACTTTGGATTATATGCGATATATACTTTGCTATGCATCAACTACTTTTAAATAGATTATTAAAAAGTTGGGAATCAATTTTGTATTTACACCTGCGCTAAGGTGATCGAGTGTGGATCGAGAACTTGACTAGGAGAACGGCTGGTTCTTGATGAAAATAGGTTTTGAATAACCTTTTTTATTCTAATGACTACTTTTTATATGATTAAAGGGCATATGGAACGAATCGATAGTAAATTAAAAAAAAATTTATAAAATGGTATAAATAGTTTTAAATGTCAAATTCTTTC